ATTACATATAAATTTTCCAAATGGAAATTTTGGAAAAAATTTATTAAAGTTTGTTGTAAACTGCTTACAACCACAATAACAACAACAAAAAAATAATTTTTGAATTGAGTTGAAAATTTCAAAAGAAAAATGAACTTAAATCAAACTTCTAACTTAAAAGGTAATTTTCGTTTTTTTAAATAAAACATAATACAAAATATTATTGTAAATTTTTATAATAAGATTTTAAAAAGCAAAGATGTTCGATACTGCCATCACTCAATCTGATTTTTACTTTAGTAATGAAAAGTCCTGCAACCGGGAATGTTCTTTACAATTCAATTGATGTGGGTGGAATCGTCTTTAATGCATTTAAGAGAAGACGGATGTTATGAGTTTTTTTGCCCGTAGCCTGGAAGATTTCTAGTTCGTTTTCGAGATTGTAGTACTTCTTTTGCACGCTAGTATTCTTGATTTGTCTACCTCGGCTGCTTTAACGGAAACATCTAGCTTATAGCCCAATAATTCGGCAGTTCGTTTGTCTTTAATAATCGGGTTTATGAAGAAAAACTTCATACTTGCGTATTTCGTACTCGTTTGTATCCTTACCCAATTTGCACAATCTGGCATAATGCAGTTATTCAAGCTACTGAACATGGTTAAAAATTAATACAGCATCGGTGCAATTATTCAAGCTATTACAGATTCTGAAAAGTAAATAATTTTCAGAGTCCTGCCACAAATAGGCTACATATTGATTATTAACAATCTATGACATGTGATAACGAGCAAAAATTTAAAAAAACGAAGTAACAGGCTTAAAATTAATAAATACAAATGTATTCTGACAGTTTATGAGTTAATTATACTTTCTATTTGCAAAATTTCCTCAACCTTTACACAAAATAAGAAAAAAGTGAACTTTTAAGAAATTTGCGGGATTTCCAGTGATGAGAAGAATTTTCCGGGTTAAAAAATCAACCGGGATCCCGTTTGAGGAACCCTAGTCAACACCCGGTCAAACCCAATTCACGGACATTGGATGATATTTATCTAACTGCAATAGCAGAATAGAAAATAAACTCGGACGACTGCATGCCCTAAAATTCAGAATAGGAGACGTTTGTTGCGGATAGCTGTTTGTTTGTTAAGTTATGGCAACGCAACACTTGGGCGATCTGCCTAGAGGGATGTCTTCCGGGAGGTCTTTTTAAGGGAAATTGGCCCCTATTTAGGTGTTAGACGTGGAGAAAACCCAAAAAACTCCACGTGGCCAGCCCGTTTGAGCGAGGCGCGAACCCACGACCGAACTCCCAGTGTTCGGAGTAGGAAGACCGCTTGGCCGCTGGTGGGAGTTGCGGATAGCAAAAACAATGATCACATCATTGCTCGTTAAAAGTCGTCAATTCCAGGAATCGTTGATCTAAACTTGTACCGCTGTACTATCATCTGGATTCCACAATAGGAAGGATTTAGCTACTGTAAAATACAGTATTGAAGAAACTGCGTTTAGCATGGGCGCCTGGAGTTCCCAGAGTACCGATATATGATAGTGTTTTTTTACATAAAAAATGATTTCCTCTCGGATGGCCCGAACAACTTGTGTGTTCAGATATGATCGCACTGTACCCAACGATCAAAGTGTCTTCACTTTGATCGTTGGGTACAGTGCGATCATGTTTGCGCACAGAACAGAACAGAGGGAGTTACGATTTTAGAAGAATCGATTCCATAGGGAAAACCTCAAAACTAAGGTGATAAATCAAAACTATAATAGCAGTAGGGCCTACTTGTCTGGAAGACCTTCAGCATGTCTCTTTCCAATGAATCAAGTGCCCGTTTTTCCATGAAAAGTAGAAGTGTCAGCTAGCTAATAGTCTATATCATTACACAATGTTAAACAAGTTATCTAGTTATAAGTAATAGATATGTATATATATATATATATATATCCATGGTGCGGTTTTCTTTATATTCCTTTTAAAATCAATTTTTCAAAAATATTTCCTCAAAAAATTGATGAAACTTCATGAGTTAATTCTACAGAAATAACCACCGTTTTTTTGCCTGGACCGCATTTAATCAGAGACAATAGTCGGTCCAGGCAAAAAAAACGGTGGTTATTTCTGTAGAATTAATATTTAGAATTAATATGTAGAAGAATATTTTTTGAAAAATTGATTTTAAAAGGAAAAAGTTATCTAGTATTTCCAGACCAACAATATGAATGTTTTTCACCGACCTACAAGAAGTCAAATGTAAATGTTATAACGAATATCTGCATCTTTGATGCACACAAGTACCAAGATCTGCAGTGGAATAACCGCGAGGAAGTAGTTGATTCCATTCATCGTGCTGCTATCAATTTGAGCAAACTTATGATGAAGAGTCCTTACCAAAATAACTTCTTGAGGTGGTAGAAAAGCACGGAGGTCAGATACAGTGAAAATGAACGCATACACAATTGCCTCTGACATGATTTCTTGATTCTTTGTTAGTAACAAACATGTTACGTTGAAATCTTATGTTTGACAGTAGTGTGTAACAGAGTCGCGCACTTACACTGACTGTTATTTCATACCACTTCACCAGAATTTTATACTGATGGGTTGCGCATGTGGCATACAATTTGCTACATTGATGCTGCCACCCTAATGAGTATGACACATTATATGAAGGTGCCAAAGAATGGAAAACGTTTTGGCTAGGAAAGTATTCAATAATATATCCCGGTGTGCAAAAATGATCAATAAAGCTTTGCACTATTCCTTAGGGCATTAGTATGCTTCACACTTTGTAAAGCGTACTAATATCTGAGTATGTATTGTTATCGTTTTATTATGGCGTATTATATCATCACATGAGTACTTATTTCATCACAGTATTTATGCATTATGAGTACTGTAAAGGAGTATATCTTGCATGCAGCTATTGTCATATATTACAGTATATCAAAGTACAATTAACAATCTTTAAATCATTGTTTATCGCTGCAAAAAATCTCATAGTAGTTAAACAGATGGAGAAAAGTGAGGGATTCTATCGGTTTAATCTTTCGTAGTTTCAATCAAAAGTGATGAAAATGAAGATGCTCAACAGTTCATTCATTATAAACGAAGTTCGTACAGTGCATCATTATGGATCGAGTTTAGAAATTACGAGTAATCGTAACAATTTAGTTTATATTTAAAATGAATGACGTAAAATGACTCAAAGATTTTTATAGAAAACTTTAGTAAATGACACAAAATTAAGTTAATCGAGTTAATGTCTTAAAATATAAATGGTGTCAGTCGGTGGTACAGATCTATTGCTGCTATTAAGCATTTGGCAAGGGGTACGTCATTTCTTAGTTTAAACGTTACCCAACAACTTAAGTCATTTTATAAATGTAGACCTAACGACGTCATTAACCGTTAACTTCGTAACAAAGGTCATACAAACAAACACAAAAAGAAAAAGCTCACAGAACGAAGTAGTGTTTGTATGTTCGTTTTCGTTTGATTTACGACACATAACACTCCAGGAAAGATAAGGATTCTTATATTTATCGAAATCACTAGCGAAATAGTTGATAAAAAAGAGAAGAAAATAAAAATTCTCAAGAATCTAATCAGAGTAGACACGTGATTGCCGGAGGTAGATGTGGCGTCAACGACCCTCGTCCACACATAAGTTACTTTCTCTGGCAAGAATCACGTGTCTGCTACTTATGACACGGCTGAAATCTCTTCTATAAGTAAGCATTGTGGGTATTTTTTCTTTTTTTCCATTCTGTAACCTTCTCTTTCCCGGAAAAATCGAGTAGAAATATGAAATCGAAGGTAAGTGAAAACGTTTGTCTGTTTTTACACACCTTAATTATCAACTACACGAAATATATCTTGCATAAAAATGCAGAAAAAGTTTTTATTTAATTGTTTATTAAATTACTGTGACAATTCTTTGATGAAAAATTCAGTTTTCTTTGCTTTAACAGCAAGATTTTTACGGTCATTTGTATTACCTGGATCGCAGTAAAAGTCGATTTGACCGCAACTATTAACATTTGCCGTTGGTTGTTAACTGCTTGGAGGGGAATAGCTATCGTTAATTCGATTTTTTTCATGGCAGATAACTACTTATAACTAGGAAATTAATAAAAATAAGTCACGTTAATAGAATTAGTCAAGATTTTCCAATAAAACATCGCACCTTACCAGGTAACACGCATTGTTAGAGTTCAAGTTTGGGTCATTACGGATGATGGGTTATAAAAGTCATAAACCTTTTCTCACTTTGCCAGTTTCTCTTTCTATTTTTTTGACGTTTTTTAGTGTTTAATTTTTATATTTTACTTTCTGAAAAATTGAAATATTCTTCTAAATAAATGCAATTAAAAACAATTTACATTTTAATAATAATAGATTCTTTTTGACCCATTTAATATGTACTTTTTTGAAGTGTCGCAGTAGTTTTAATGAACAAAAGAAAGAAAGAAAAAACATTTTTTAAATATTTCAAATTCGGATGAATATTTTCGACGCGAAAAATATTCTAAATTTTTTACATTAATAGTTTTTGTGTTGTTTTTAAATGTTAGATGGAACGAAATCGTGACGTTTTGCGTGAACAACGTTAAACTTTGACCTTGATTTCGATGAGTTCTCATGCAAAAACACAAGCTTTAATGTATAAATTGGAATAGAAAGCGGTTAAAGTGAAAAGTAAAGGAAATTTTAAAAATAATTTAGTATTTTTTTAATTTTCTTTTGACCTGAGAAAATACAAAAGACAAGCGCGAATCGATGATTATTTATTCTTAAAACATCTATTAATTTCGAGTCACGTTTAACGTTTCCTGTTGTAAAACTGTCAATAACTTTCACAGTTGTAGTTTTATTTTTATTCTATTAATCAATACGAGCGATTCTTAAAAATAAGAAAAAACATTGTTGTTTAGAAATTCTTTTACTAGTCATACTTCATATCTTTACAATCATTTTAAAATAATATTTTTGAATTTTTTTTTCTCTTTTCAGAGAAGATCTGGTATTGTCATCGATAAAACGAGTGATAATACTTTATATATTCGAGTTTTAGGTAAGTACATTGTACTGTACTTATTGTTTCTTATTTTTTATAATTTCCAAGCTAGCATGAAATATCATATATTATTTTATAATTACAATATAAGCGATTCTTAATTTTTAATGATTATTTAAAAACATTTTTATTTAATATGGACCAAAATTTCTTTTCTGACTTTTTTCTGCTTGTGTATATTGTGTAAAATCTCGAAATTATAACCACGGCTACATTTTTCTTGAAGCTTTCGCGTTATACGCGCACAAAACTGATCATTTAAGTTGTGAACTTCTATTATCCGTTTTCTACGATTTTTTAAAACTTAATTTGTTGGTATACACCAATCAAATCGAACCGTAAGATGTAATTTGTAATCTAATATTCTGCGTGATTTCAGTGTCGATATTAACACGCGTGTGTGTGCGCGCTCTATGCTTAACGTGCTCATTTTTTCGCCCTAAAGTAAGTTTTATCGAGAGATAAAAAGGAATAGGCGTGTCCGATACTGTTTTTAAGTCAGTAGATTGTTAAAAATTCATAATAAAGGCGATACGCACGAAAAATGAGCCGGCAACTTTCGATATAATTTCTACCTTTAGGTTATTATTAGAAGAAAAAATGACGCATATCCGGTTGAGTACAGCTACCGGATATGCGTCACTGTAAGTTCCTCTTGACTAAGAGTCGAGCAAAACAATGCTTATTTAACAAAACATAAATATTGTTTTGCTTTACATACATAAAAAAACACATTTTTAAGTAAAATAAGATTTTTAAAGTAATAATTTAAAATTTCCTAAAATAATTAAGATGCTATTGTATTTTTTGGATAAATAAATTTAATTATTTCGGATGTTTTTTTCATTTTAGTTTATTATTTTAAATCGAAAAAACTTTTTATTACTTCAATTATTATATTTTAATATCGTATTTTTATATCAGTTTGCCATAAAACTTTTTATAAGAATTATTATATTTATTTATTATTAAATAACTCGAAAAAAAAAGATGTTTGAAAATTGTTTGCAAAAAATATAAAATGTTTAGTATTATTGTTATTAGCGCGTTAATTCTTGTCATAATTTTATTACGATTGAGCAATTTAATTTTTTTAGAAAATAATGGCTTGAAGTTTTAGTTTTTGCTTATTTTTATTTTTGGACGAAAATTTTACTGACACATTTAGAATATATATATCATTTTTTTTACATTTTCTCTGAAACTTTCGCGTATAACGCACAATATAGAGAAGGGATTTTTTTGGAATTGACGCTCGATATTTTCCTGTTCAGTTTCCTATTCGACTTGGAGAATTTTTTAAAAATTCAAAAATAAAGCTTAAAAATCGGCTCGGTTTATAATTTTTTTTAGATAAATCGAAATGGCTTGTGGAAGTGGTTAAGTTATTACACTGAATAGATTTGGATATTTAATCCTTTTATAAATAAATTTTGAAGTAAATCCTGTCACATTTGTTTATTCGGGATTTGATAGTATTTATCTTTCATTAATCTGTCAGTAACAGAAGAAAATGTTTTTAAAGAGATACTTTTAAATCTCGTCGATCGATAAGAATTCTTGGGGATTTTTTGCACATTTTCCAAATTGCAATTACTTTGTTTTCGATTGTTCTCGCTTCCACGTGTTGTTTTTAAATTATTTCTTTGAAAATAAGTGCCAAATTTAAATTAACCATTGTTATTTTCCCGACTGTTAAAGAATATAATTTAGGAAAAGTATAGTGACCGATCAAATATTGACACCCAGATTTTTTGCATTTCTTGATGATTTGACTTTCCAGGAGTTCAGAAATGTAAAAAAATTACAAAATTCTGTTTGAATGAATGAATTGGGCAGGCGGGTGTCTTAGGACTGGATGAACCAAAAGTTTTAAATCTGGCAGGCTTATTTTTATGTATTGTGCTTTGAGCTATTAAATTTTGGTAGTTGAAGAGGGTGGGGTAAGAGGTAAGACACGTGTCGTATCTCGAGTGGAGTCAGACTTAATGAAAATTTTACACGTTATTAGCATTTACAATTTGTTCAGAAACTTATTCCTACTCCCAAAAATAACACTTTATAATAATATATTATATAAACATTATTTTAAAATAAAATCTGATAACAGGTGGTGCCATACAGACTTTAACTTTGTAAGTTATGAATGCCGGGAAAGTCATGCAAAGAGTTCTTGCCAGTTTAAAATGGTGTCTTACAACCGTTCTCGTATGGAGAACTTCAAATACAATATTGTGGATCGCGATCCACGGGGTAAATTATCTCTGATCCACGTTTTTTATCAGTAGTAATTTGAATATCTTCTCTCAATGTTATAGTTGTAAGCTTGATCCGAGCTATATCTAGTTAAATATACCGTATAAAACGGTTTGATATAAATAGCGAGTTATTGACCTATATTCGCTACCTTATTTGCATTCTTCTTTAGCATCAATTTGATCCATTAAAGAAAGGTTTTGTATAAAATACTTGAAGTAATAACGTTGAACGATTTTCTATCCTCATAAATCATGAAGAATAGTGAAGATTCGCCGGATCGGAATTCCTCGTGCTAATTGCATATTTTATTCCTCGAAATGGGCCACCAATAGTTGAGTCGAAAAACCACTGGACACTGGCGCCTTATCAACAGACTGGCAATTTGGAGTTTCCGGATTTTCTTCATGTGCCTATCACTTAATTAGGGACTAGTTTACCATGGGAATCCTCCTGGGGAGGTGCCCGCTTTGGTAGATTTTTCAAGTGTTGCTTTATTTGCCTTATTTCGTCAATTTAACTTAGTTTAATCCTTGGTGAAGTTTGTGGACCCATTTAAATTTTCGCAAATTTTTGAAAAATGTAAAAGTTTGTCTAAAATATTTTATAAATTCTCTCTTACATGTTAAAATAGAATTCAAGAAAATCCTTTACAAAATAGGATTTTAGACAAGAATGTTTTTTAGTGTTGCAACGAATAGTATATTCGGCCTTAGGCCGAATACCGAATATTCGGCCAAACTATTCGGCTCGATTAACGCACGTACGAAAATTGGCGCGCAAACAGCATTACGGCAAGGACCCTGCTCTCTATTGGCCCGCTGTCACTACGCTTCGCCAATCGCGTTAATTCTTGACATTTGTAGCGGACAGACATGAGCGTCATGGCAGTATGCGATAAGTGATGATATCAAATGTGGATAACAATTAAATGACCTACACGTGTAAATAACGGAAAAAGAACAGAGAAGGACCGCGAAGTAAAAATGTGAAAATAAATATGAAATTGAGTAGATAACATAATCGAACAAGTCGAATTAGCTTATTGGCACGAAATTCGCGCCCGTCAATGCCAAACAATTGTTGTCATAGACTTCGGAAAGCTAAATGCTTGTAATCAAAGTCACTTAGCGTGCACGGGCGAAAGCCTGGGACCGTTCGGGCTACCGAGCTGTCTCGAATCTGTGAAATCGTAACTGTGACATATACCGACGTCCTATCTGTCTCTTTTCTCCGTTATCATCAGGTATGAGTCACGTAATTATAAAATGGAAAAACTATGACGGAAAAGTGACGAATCGAAAGTATCGTGAGCTCGTATTATGATGTATACATAGGCATACGTGGACTAGAGCGTTAGAGGAAAAAGAAAGGGAAGAGGAAAGACGAGCGCTTAACAAGAAGAATAAGCAGGTCAGACCCTCAGATATGTGCGACGATTCTCGAACGAATAGGTGTGTACGTGTGCTGATCTTTGTAATTATAAATTGTGAATAATTGTGACTAATATTATTATTTTTTTATTTTGTGCATGTTATAAGTTATAAATGAATATAAACAAACAACACTAACCCGATAACATTAAATCTAAATACCAAAATGATTGATTTACTGTGTTTTTGTTATTTCTCACTCCTGTTTTTAGGTATTCGGTATTCGGCCGAATAGTGAAAAATAGGCCTATTTTTCACTATTCGGCCGAATACCGAATAGTAACCGAATATTCGTTACATCACTAATGTTTTTCCATTGAAGAAAGAAGAAGAAAACTACAAAATAAATGAATGAATGAATTGTTTCGTTACGAAAGATTAACTTCAAAAATTTCTTGTCACAGACTGGCATGTTGAGAGTCTTGAATGATACAAAATAATTTTCTAACAAAGATTTATTATTTATTAATCAAATTATTCGAGACGGCTGGATGGCCGAGCGACTGAAATGGCAACCTGTCGCTCTGGGGACCCGAGATATAATTCAGACGGGTTGAAAAATCTCAGGAATTTTTAGGGGAATTCAGCCAGGTCCTCTTCATTGTGGACCTGGCTGAATCCGTAATGGGCTTGCTAATAAGTCCCTCTTAGTGCTTACAGGGCAGAGGAGTTAAATAAAATATATATATGTATATATTTTTTCTTTTCTAATCTTCGAATTTTGATATTATTTCATCACTTATTTTCCATTTCTGTTGTCGTGCAATTATTTTCGTCTGTGACCTTTGATATTGCTGTCATTCGTCTAGATATATAGGAACATTTTGTTATTTCTTTTTCTGATTTCTCTAAGATAACACAGGTTTACTGGTTCCTTTCTCTGTTGATATCCAATATCTCCTCGTAATTTCTTTCTTTCTTTCTTTATTCTCTCCATTATTGTCAACCTTGAAATGAACTTCTCGGCAATATTAATAAACTAAACTATTTATTTTCGTATACAGACTTATAATTTCGCATTCTGCATTAATTTGCAAATATATTTTAATTCTTTATTTAAATTTATGGCATTTATTTGCCACTTTTCTACGTGTCAATGCTTAAAAATGTCTATTTTTCGTTCTTTTTCCACTCTTGTAATGTTAAATCTTATTTAAAATAATATAAAATTTTTAAATATGATTTTTGCTTCGTATTCTCCCTGAAAGTAATGTTTTCGTTCGAAATCAAATTAGAATTAAAGCTCGAATCTCATAAAGTAATTGTGTTCTGGCTATCAATAATTCCTTTCTTGCTCTAGAGATTCAT